GTTTGTAGCAGAAGAACAATAACATATGGCTGATAAATCAGACAGTTTTTCTGGGATGCTGTGGAACATGGCTTCACTGAGCTTCAAACCAAACAAACTGCTGACAAGGACAAAACAGGAATGTCTGTTTTATAAAGACCTGGAGGTAGAGACTCAGCTGCAACACGTCCGACCCAGTGCTGGGCTAGAGACTGTTCCTAAAATAAAATAAAGGGGCTGCACAGTGGGGCAGTTGGTAGTACTGTTGCATTGCAGCAAGAAGGTCCTGGGTTCAATTCCTGGCCCGGGGTCTTTCTGCATGGAGTTTGCATGTTCTCCCTGTGCATGCATGGGTTCTCTCTGGGTACTCTGGCTTCCTCCCACAGTCCAAAATACATGACTGTCAGGTTAATTGGTTTCTCTAAATTGTCCCTAGGTGTGAGTGTGTGTGTGCATTGTTGTTTGTCGTGTCTGTCTCTGTGTTACCCTGCAACAGACTGGCATACTGGCGTCCAAGGTGTACCCCGCCTCTTGCCCAGAACGTTAGCTGGAGATAGGCACCAGCAACCCTCCCGACCCCACTAGCGACAAGGGTGTATAGAAAATAGATGGATGGATGGAAAATAAAATAAAATAACCTGATGATTTAAGTAATGATTAATATTGAATAATAATAATTAGAGTTCAGATAATGCCGTGAGGAACTGATGACCTGTTCATGACGCCCTGCAGGGATCAGCTCCTGTCAAAGAGGAAGGAACTGAGCAGAGTACAGATGGAGGTGTCTCTGTTGTAGTAAAGACTAACTTTGTGAAGACACAGTGACCTGAAATCACCAGGAGAATTGGATCTCTTTATCTTTAAGTTCTGGTGAGGATTTCTGGCTTGGGAAATTTCTCGTAGAGAATTCCAAGGAACTCCATGTTTCCTCTGTAATTGTTTTTTTTAGCTTCAGTTTGATTCCCATTAAACAGCAAACCTTGATGAAAGCGTCCAGTGATAAAACATTGCCTTCGTCACAGAACTGAGTCATATCTGATACCTGTCATACCTGCTATCAAACAGACCAGGTTTCATTCCCGCAACACATAAACACAAGATAACGGTGGGCACACACACACACACACACACACACACACACACACACACACACACACACACACACACACACACACACACACACTGTTTAAAGACAAGGGGCCAAAACCACAGGAAGGTTTGAAGCAGCAGTTTCACTCATGTAATCAGAATTTACTTTGGCTATTTTTTTCCACTGATGATTGTTTTGAAGAATGATTAATGCCTCAAGCATAACTTTGTTCAGGCTAATTATTTTCCTCCATATCTTAAGAACACCGGTTATTATTGTGCTCAGCCCAATACCTTCTTATTTCAAATGTTTGATTATTCAGAAAGACAACAGCACTGTCTGAAAGAGCAGTTCACATAAAAAGTTGCAAAAGTGTTCACAATCTTGGATTTTTTTTCACATAATATTACACAATATCCAAAACTCCAGTATATATTTTACTGGGATTTTCTGTGACAGACCAACACAAAGCAGTGTAACATCATCATACTCCAGGAAAGTGAACTTCTGCAGCCTCTCAGAGCTTTTCTTCACAGACTGCCCTGTATTTAGCTCCATCTGGTCATCATCTGTGACCAGCTTTGCTGTCCAGACTATTGATAGTTTGGTCTTAGGGGTATCAGATTTTTTAAAAATCTGAAGGAGACACTTTTCAGACGCTTATTCTGTTTTTTCTTGTGCATTCTGCTCTATTGTCTCAACCACTGTAGTGAGCCAGGTTCTGGCTCTGGTTCTGCTGGAGGTTTCTTCCTGTTAAACGGGACTTTTTCCTCTCCACTGTCGCTACATGCATGCTCAGTATGACGGATTGCTGTAAAGTCAGCGACACATGTTTGTCCAGGACGAGTGAATGCTGCAAGCCAATGACAAGCTGCTGGGTTTCTTTAGAGAGAAATATTTTAAACTTACTTTGAATAATGAACTGAGCTTAATGAACACATTCATTGTGTGTGATTGAACTGAAATTATTTTTTAAAATGTCAGGTGAATTAACCTATATAATTAAATTGAATTGAACTGAAAAAAAATCTAAATTATTCCACTTGATAGCACCACTACTTACTGGATTATTGCATAAAATCCCAATAAAATACATTGATAGCTTTGATTCTAACGGAAGAAAATGTGAATATGTTTAAGCTGTGTATATACTTTAGGAAGGCATTCCATTATGAGTAAAGTTTGGATTGAGAAAAACTTCAGTGAGGACCCTTAAACAGGATTAGATTGTCTTGCTGTTGAAAGTGTAAAATAAGCCTGTGAATTTACACATACATCCAAAGAAGAGAAGGAAATGAGTGGAATGTTGTTAGAGACATGAGAATCACCAACTCACCAGCTGGTTAGGGTCCCCAGGCTCCTGGAATGTCTGATGCTGCGTGTTGGAGGGGCTGCTGGCTCCAGCGGGGCCCCATCCTGTAGTCTCTCCTGTGCAGACGGTCTGCAGGAAAGCCGTGGCAGCTGCACATTGCCTGAGAAGACCCTCTTCACGGCATATCTGACGTCAGGGTCCTGGAGGAGCTCGACGCATGAGGCCGACTCTGAGGAGTCCCAGTGTCTCTGGACGGGACAGGACAAGCGTGTGAAAGGGGCGAAGGGGGAATTCCATGGGGTCACTTTGGTAACAACTATAAGTGCTAGCTTTGATCTAAAGAATTAAGGCTGATCACTAAATGCCAAACTGAAACCAGATGCTCTATGAAAACCGATTTACAAACTACTTAAGAAAAAATATAGTTTCCATCTTGAAAACTCTTCAGAAAATAAAACTCACCATTCAGCTGTTCACTTTGATTCTGTTGTTTCAAATTTTTATGACCAAAGACAATAAATTACATTTTTAAGGTTAGAAAACAAAAACAAACAAACAAAAAAAATCAACATTCTACAATAAACTGAGCATGTAAAAAAAGCAGCTGCAGGATTACCCCGATTTCATAAATTAGGAAGTGTTTCAACTTTCAATATAAATATTTAGAAAATCCAGGAAAATACTGTATTTTACATATTACAATAGTTTCAAAAGGTAAGCAGTAAACAGAGACGGTTTTGTGACGAGCCTTTCAGAAGACCGGTCCGGCGTTATTTTTGGAAGTCTTATCTGATTTCAGGTCCTGAGACCCCCACGCTCCTGCCTCAAACACAATAGGAGCTTCTTACACAGATCCAGAGTTCAGGATTCAGCTTTCAGGGCAACTTTGTTTTAGTGCGTCAGCCGGGGGGCCGCAGATAACCTGTGTTTCTGGCTGTGTCCCATGACCCTATCACTTCATCTGCTTGAATGTTTCACTTTTCCATAAACAACTGTCAACTTTCTTCACCAACACTGAATAAGATGAGAATGACAGGAAGCTAATCAGAAAGGGATTGTGACTTTTAATTATTAATTTAAATCGAGACAGTTTGATTCCTCATTACTGTTGCCTATTTTGACTACAAAAACTTTTTTACTCAAAGCAGAAAGCTGAGCAGGTGGCTTATAACTATTAAAATACAGTTAAATGCATAAATAAAATCCTGTTGTAGTTATTAGATTAAGTTTCTTTTTAGCTAAAAATAAAAAAGGAGAAAGTATCCTAGTATGTGTCCTTACATGCAAATGGATTTAAAAGTCTATAAAGCTTTAAATGTTTTCCTACCTCTGTAACGTAGAAAAGTCTGGAGTTATTTCTTCTCATACTTTTGGCCACTCTGTCATGGGAACAGTTGAGCTTGGAAGGAAATGCCAAAGAGGAGGATGCAGGAACCCCATTTAAGATCAGATAGGAGCTCGTCTGTGGCACCAATCCGTCTTCTGACTGTCACTCAACACGTCACGCTTTCCCCGCCTCCTCAGCTGTCAGCTTGTACCGCTGATAAACACCTAACACTTGTGGTACCACTTTTGGCTCGATGCTTCACGGCAGCAGCTCTCACACCATGACTTTATCAGGCCCCTAATATGCAGACATTCTTTCTTTAAAAAAAAAAGTGGATTATTTTGTGAAAAAAAAGAAAGCATAGAAAAACCTCATGACCTGCATGACAAGATAGCATTCATACGTGTCTATCTGATGGCATGATCTCTTGATATCAAGCACTGGTCCTACAGGTTAGGCTCCTCACAGACATAGGTTTCATAAGGCAAGGTGATATTTAAAATTATGCTTTATTTTTTCTTTCACTAGTCTTAGTTTTGAGTTTCTGCTCACGTGTGTATGTGTTGAACTTTAATGACCCCGCCTGCTTCTGATGCGTACCCACATGAAGCACAGTTTGAAAAGCAAATACATAACAAAGGAGAATGTCAGCTCAAACTTATTAGACTCTAACTGACTGTCTTTGGATTCTCTGCTACTTTGTACTTGTATTATACATTAAAATCTGTCATTTTTTATTTAACATTTTATAAAACTTTATAATCAATGAGGATTATTTATATAGCACATTTCAGCAACAAGGCAGTCCAAAGTGCTTAAGATCATGAAAACATAAAGACATTATAGTCACCAATTGTGAAACCACTAAAAAAAACCTGTCAACTGCCATTATCAAAATCATCAATACATATCACATATGTTGAATGTTCCAGTTATCACAAGTCAAAAGCAGCTCTGATCAGGTGGCCTTCATTTAATAGCTTAGTAAAGCAGCAGACTATGGTGGTTTAGAAGGAAAGCGACTAAATCACTATTTTAAGGTAGAGTAGCAACTTCTTGACCTTTACTTTGAATGCAACTTGGCGTATGTATCACTCTAGGTAGGCTGGCTAAAATTGACTTGTACAATATGGCGCCTCCTACTGGCCATGGAGAAGAGGGTGGGATACCAAAAGAATCATCTGCTTTGTTTAAGTGAAAAAGCACCAACAGATCAGATTTCAGATATTTTGGAAAGAAGGTTTTATTTATTTGTGCAAGTTTTAAAAATGAAGTGAACAGAATCTTCCATGTTTTTTTAGAGACAAAATGAAAAAGATACAAAGAAAACCAATATTTCTGAGTGTTCAGTTTAGAGACTGCAGCATTGAGCTGCTTCTTCATTCATTGTGGCAGTAACTTTTGTAGTGCAGTTTCTGGCTCCCTCCACAGGCAGCAGGTTTTGTTCCCTGAAAGTAACCAAGAAACAAAAACAAAACATGTTAATTCACTGTAAGAAAAGAGAGGATGAAGAGTCAGATCAGAGACATTAACTGTACCTTATACATGGAGCAGACCAGTGTGAACAAGGAGGACATGGCCTTTTCCTGTAAGTCTTCTGTATGCACCTATTAAAAAAATAAATATTATTTTAAATAAACTCTAGAGTCTGGCTTTAAAATAGATGAATGCACTAGGTCAATCAGAACTAAGAAATAGAAGCTTTCCACAATAACCCAGTGGAGAGCAAGTTTAGCTCTTAAGCATCCACAGACCCAGCCCTGCAGCAGGCCCGGCCACCATCTTGGAGCGGTTGTCCACCCTACTTGGCTAAACCAAAACAGCAGAAGATGCCGCAGCACTTTGCGGGATGAAAACAAAAACTTGTGTGTTCGAATGGCCTAGTCAAAATCCAGACCTAAATCCAATAGAAAAACAGTGGAAAGACTTGAACACTGCTTTCCAGAGATTATTTCCAATCTGACTGAACTTGAGCTATTTTGCAACAAATAAGCGGCTCTTCCTTTCAGCTGCCTTGAGGCAGAGACACTATCTGTCTGGTAAAGTTTTATGAGTTGCATCAAACTACTGGCTTCAGAACTGATGGACTTTCTTTGGTTATCCATAAAATCCTGGACTTTTGAAAAGCATACCCCATTGATGGTGATCCAGGGCACATACTGATGGGGAGGGTTCAACGCCTTGGTCTGTAAGGCATTCTGGTGCATCAACTGCATTCCCATGTCTCCATTAACACAGCTCATTACTTTGTCCATGCTCAGATCAGGGGCGTAGACTTTCAGACACTACAAACAAAAAATGAAATTTATTGACGAGAACAAAAACAGCCGAGCTAGAGAAACATTCACTCAGAAAAACCTGCTTACACTTTCAGCTGAGCCGATGACATCAGCAGAGGACTCCATGCAGAAGATGATTGGGAAAGCCATATCAGTCATGTTCATTATACAGGTCTAGGGAAAGTAGAGGAACTAATTAATTGGTGAAGCACAACTCTGCTGAGTAACAGAAACAGCATTAGTAACAATGTTCACCTTTAAGCCTCAATTGTATTCCTAAAATATTTTCCAATAATGGTTTTAGAAACAACCTGAAACAGTGAACATAACACTTTCCTGTGATTCCTAAAATGTTTATTCACTGATAAATCTCTGAGCTGTTTGGGTTATTTTTCCAACAACATTGGGACAAAACTGACTGATGAATAATCAACATACCAGATGTTCCAAAGTACATGAAGATCAAAATTATTCATCCTCCTTGCTGATAAAACGGTTTCAATTTATTTAAATAAATAAATAAAAAAAATGTAAAAGAAAAAAAGAAGAGCACCATTTTTTAAAAATATGATTAAATAAATCGTAAATTATTTATGTTATTTATATTTTTTTATGTAAAGCAGTTATACGGAAAGCTGTTTTGTTAAAAAATTATATAAATACTCTATCAAATGTCCAGATGAAGAAAAGACAAAATAAATATGAATAAAATCATTTTAAAGGGGGCTTATTTAGTTAACTATAGCTTTATTTATGTAGTTGAAGATGTACTTATTTTATTTATCTATTTATCTTAATTATTAGAGTTAAAATTAAATGAAATAAATCATGAAATAGGTAAAGTAGCTTTACTAAGTAAGTCTCACAAAATAAAACACCAAAATAAAACACCTGTGACAGCTGACCCTACTGTCACACAGACCTGAATGGTACGGTAATCGTTTTTTGTTTATCCTTAATATTAGTTTAGATATTAATTAGTGAATAGTTTAGATTTTTATTTTTTTTTATTATTTTCATTAGCCTGACTCTTTAGTTGACTATTTGCAGTGCACACATTTAGTTAACTTTATTTGTCAGTTCTTTATATTTTTGTTAAATGCAACAAATTGATTTCTTTGTTTTGAGTTACCAGTTTCCTTTGGAGCTGCTGCTGGAGGGTCACAGAAGAGCTCCAGCTAATTGATGTCCTTATATGGCTGGCAAACCTCCTCAGCGTTTGCCAGGGGATGAGAAAATTTGGTTTTCTTTAGTTTAATTTGACCATTTCTTTAATGTTTCTTCTATTTGGCAGTTTCATTCTAATAGTGTTTATTTAATTTAAAGATTTGGTATTGTATTGACTAGTATTTGTTCTTGTATGCTTAATTACAAGACATGAGGGGAACATCAGACATCAGACCACGACTGACACACATAACTCTATGTGTGTCAGTCGTGGTCTGATGTTCCCCTCATGCCTTGTTTGTTAGGTCAGTTTTGTGCTTGAGTTCTTTGTGTTACTACCCGAGTTGTAGTTTGTTATGTTGACATCGGTTTTGGGCCCAATTCTTCATTGTTTAACTATTTTTTAACTTTTTTGTAATAAATTAAGATTATTTTTGGAATCCATTCAGATTCTCTCTGGCTGGTCTATGTAAGAACCCTCACACACCATTATAAAATGTATAAATAAATAACGAAATAAATGAATAAATTTTGAAATAAAAACAAATAAATACATAAGTAAAGCTGTGCTCTTTTAATATGCATTTTGTCTTTATTCCATAGGGACATTATTTAATTGAGTATTTATTAATGACATTAAAAACATAAGTATATTTACGTATTTAATTTTGAATGAAACAGCTCTCCATATGGTCAGACCTTTGCTGTATTTGAACTGGTATATTGACAATGTATCTTTGGTGATGAGCTCTGAATGTTTCCAGGATGGAAGGAATCCTTGACATTACCCTAATCTTTTGCTTCCTGCACAGGTTTTCTGTGAAATGCAAGTCACTCCCAAACTTTACCATATAGAAACATGTTGGTGGAATTAAAAGATGGCTTTAAACCAAACCTGCCAGGGTTATGAATGTATAATATTTTATAACATGAATGCCCAGCCTGATTGGAGCCTCATTTAGAGGAAATATATTTTTGATTCAATATTCAACCTTTTAGTTGATCTGAGAGTAAAATGAGCCGAGTTAATTAGTAGTGCTATAAGTAAGTGAGGGAAAATTTACATGATTTCTTTCAGCCAGCTGAACAGCAACACACAGCAACATGTGCAGGAGGGGCAGTGCTGCGTTACTCTAAGCTCCACACAACCAGAGGAAACTGACTTTGTTTGACTTCTCATTGAAAATATCCTGACAGTGCAGGAGGGTGGTGAATCTGATACTCATTGCCCCATTCAGAGCCTCGGCCTTTACATATTAAATAATCAAATGAATAAAATACACAGTATTCACACCATAACCCTAAAGTCTGTCTGTCTACAGCAGATTCCATGGCTCTGTGATTACCTCTATCATGTTCCCCAGACACTCCTGTTTCCCATGCTGGCACTCATAGGTATACTTCTGAGCGACAGGCGTCTCCTGCCGTGGTGAGACAATTAAAATCCTTCACAAAACAGACAAGTTTTACATATGAAATATTTCTACTAAGCAGCTGCTTACCTGTGCATTTCCATAGGGTACCAGAGTTACAGACATGATGTCAAGCAGCAGGTAGGTGGGGAAGAGCATCTCAGTGAGGAACTTCCTGCAGCCAGGACACAGGCTCTCATAGTATAGCCCAACCTGGACTGGCTCTTCGGTCCGACGGCTCCTACTGAAGTCAGACTCCAGGCACTGCTTCAAAACCTGCAGCAAGACGGCCAAGGCAGAGGAGTCTCAATCTGGGCGAGAATGTCTGCAAGCACCTGCTTTGCTGCTCTGGGCATCAAGGTTTAAAGGCTACACATTACAGCTTCAGTTTAATTTGAGAATTATGTAGACTTTGATTATTAATTCCTTAGTAATATTTTCCACAGATTTGAATATGTTGTAGAGATTCAGGAAATGTAAATAATTAATCTTTCACTTGCAGCACAGTTAATCAGGGCGTTCCTCAGGGCTTGGTGCCTGGAACTATTGTCTTAACTTTACGCATCCTTCCAGTAGGTGTGGATGATCACACCTGACACAGATGTGACCACTGGCATCTGTGTCAGGTGACCCCATTTGACACTGTGTCAGGTGGGATCACCTGACTCAGATGCCAATGGTCACAGAGAATCTGAATTACAGAAGAAAAGTTGAAGTTTTGAAGGTAGTTTATTAGACCTGATATCACTAGACCAATATTTAACAGTATCAGTACAGCCCTACACCACAACTAATAATACCAATTTCACTGTGTTATTTTGGTTTGATCAGGAGTCATTATTGCTCAGATTTTGTAAGAGTCGATGGGCTCAAACGAGGCAAAATTAAATTTCACATCCATTGTTGTGAGTAATTACCTTCATTATTAATAAAAAAAATGCTTAATTACCAAGAAAAATATATTTATAAACTACAAATACGTATATGAGCATGAAATGGTTTATTTGGGGCTACTAAATTAGTAAAAAGCTAGTGGTAAAAAGCTGAAAGAAACAAGTACGTGAGTGCATAGATCTTTAGATTATATTATTATTGAAAAGTCCTTTTAATTCAGGAACTTCATCATCAAGTGAAACACGCTATATAGATTAATTACACACAGATCAATATTTGAAAGCCCTTATTTCTGTTAATTATGATGATTTTGCTCTTACAGTTATTAAAAACATGACATTTAGGATTAAAATATTACATCAGATCAACAAAAAACAAGCTGAATTGAACCTCTACAGAGTTTAAACAGTGTCCTCATCCTCAGCTGCATCGGTTTGGCTCAAAATAACTCACAGGAAATGCTTAGTCACTTTTAAAGATGTGGTATCCATTTTATCCTTTATTGTAATTGCCAGACAACACCTGGTTTATTTGCGGTATCATGTGATCATCACAAAATCATGTGGTTTTTTTGTCAGTCAAACCTTTTGGCTGGTATTGGATGCGAGGTGTTCACCAGTTTCTAGAAATGTTTACCAAAATGCAAAAGGCTCACACTGTCATGGTTTATGTTTGATATCATTTCCTTTCTTCAACCTGATATTGCCATATTATTTGTAAACGTATGTAAACATATATAAAAAAATCAAACAGGTACCAAATATGAATGCTAATGTTCTTAGTGGCAGAACAGAACCAAGGTGTGGATTTCCATCCTGTTTAGTACCGGTTTCATTAATTGACACAATGGCAGCATTTCTGAGTTTGATAACCACATTTCTATTGTTTAGAATTTTAGAGGATTTCTTAACTTTTCAAACTTAGAAAACTTGACTGTGATGTTTGTCTGTGACGCTGTAAGGCTGACAAAGGCTGTCCTGTTATACTTCCTCGTTTTTTTTTGTTGTTTTTTTTTTATATTTTCTCCCTCAGGTTATTTTACTAAGAACTTCCTCTCTGACTTTATGACTTGAATAAAAATAATGAACACTTAAAATTCTTGAGTTGCATAGATGTTAAGCAGAGACCAAAGGGCGAAACACGGATGTCTACAGTCATACAAAGCTAGCAAGAACCGGACACCAAGCTGACCAGTTGTCATGGCTTCGTGTTGTTACCGAGACTGTCACTGTTCTTCGACTTAGGATAAATGCCGATAGGGTTAGTTGTCCCTATGGCAAAAATTTCACAAGTGTTTCTTTTTGTTCTTTGCAGCAGAATATAGCCAAAAGCAAAACAAGTTTTAGAGAAGAACTAAAAGCTCACCCCACACTGAACAGCTGAGTCTAAAGATGAGCACCACTTTGCTGGAGGTTGGAGGCATGACGAGGTGGGGAGAGAGCAGCAGCCGAACGGAGCGCTGACCCAAACTGCCAACAGGAGCGGGAGCAGAAGCCTCATCTTCAGTTGTAGCCAAAGTCTTTTCGTAACTCTACTCACACTATTTTCCACAGCTCAAACCTGCGACCGACTGGCCTGTAACTTTTCCTCTTTAAATACAGCTCTGGCGCTTCCTCGTGAAGGCTTCCGATTATTTGATTGGCTGCAGCACAGTCACTACAGCATCATTTGTAACTAGCAGAGAATCAACAAGCCTGACCTCCCTACTGCTGTTCTGAAGAAGTGAGAATTCCCCAAGAAAGAGCAAATTTCCATAATATCTATAAAGAGCTTGGTCGTCTTGCATGTTTACACTTCCTCAGTTCCATGCAGTTTTAATGACTCGGCTGTTTTCACTGAACGCAAATTAATTATCTAAATTAATCTTAATATTAATAATCTTTTGAATCAAATTGTAAAACTTGTATGAGTCAGCTGAATTCTGATTACTTATCACACTGGATGGGTTAAGTTTTAAGTTGAGTGCAGCATGCAAGTCACTGTCACATGCTTATATCTCAGCTTACTTCCGAATGAGGAAGTAAGCTGATGTTGGTCAGAGCAATCATAAAACTTAAAGAAAAATCTCTTCAGAAACCATAGAGCATTACCCTCCCTCCCTTATAGCGAGGGATCCCTCGCTATAA